TGACCCATATGCCAGCTGACTACAGACTGAAACTTCCACAAACTGTGAGCCAAAGTAAACCTTTTCTCTTTTAACTGTGGGTGTCAGGTATTTTGTCTCAGCAATGACACCACACTCAACTACTCAGAAGTGCCACAAATTCCACTAAGACCACAGTTTACATCTTTAAGGAATAATATATTTGCTAGTGCTTGAGAAAAATTTTATGATCAAAAATTTTTGACATTTGACCCATCCTTATCAATATCCATCAATCTAGATTTCTAAGATTTACATATCAGCAGTGGTAAGCCAAGGGAGAAGTTAGTGATAAAAGAACAGGAGGCAAGAAACAGCCAGAAAGAAGAATCCTGTTGATTAACAGGAAGACTAAAATGAGAGAGTAGATATCAACAGAGTATGTATCTTCAAGTAGATCTAGTCTGATAACAGATTTTTAAAAAATGAACTAAAACTAACCTCTTACATTCAGTTACTGCAAGGCTAAAAGTTTCCTTAGCATGTAGAAGGGCATCAAATGCCATCTGGTCTCTTCATAGAAAAAAACAGTTTTATTTACCAAACTTTACCCTGATTCTAAAACATGGCTCTTTAGCACTGTAACATAGAAATCATTCAATACTATCTTTTCCTCTAACATGCTCCACGACGTGTTTTATCATTCATCAGCATTCCTACTAGAATCTATTGACAAAAATGTAAAGTTCAAGAAGTTAATAATCAGAATAAGAACAGCTAATATTTACTATATGTATTGAATGCTTTCTATATGGAAGATTCATATTAAGACATGACACAATGGAAGTCACTCAAGCTCAAAAAAGTTGGAAAATTTATCCACACTCTTAAGTAATTAACTTGAGGATTCAAATAGAAATAGTCTAGCTTCAATGACTACATTGTCTTGAACTGTCCAAATAAAAGATTTGGGGAAAGAAAAATTAAGCTATAAGTTTAGTTACTATCAAGAGATTTTAAAAGATGAGGTAAGTGGTACCTTAGTATTCAAGAAACTGTTCAATGAAGTGGCCAATTGCCATATGTGACAATTAGGCACTACTGATTATAGCTAGTCCAAACTGAAATGTGCTATAAATGTAAAATATCCAATTGTGAAGATTTAATAAAGAGAATGTAAATCAATTCCATAACAATTTCTATGTGTATTAACGGTAAAATGGTAATATTTTGAATACATTAGATTAATAAAATGTGTTTTCTAATGTACCTACCAAAATATTTATAATTACACATTTGGCTGCCATTATATTTCCACTGAACACAATGTTACACAAGAAAGAAATTAGAGTTTACAGAATGATTCTAATCCAATCTTTGCCACTTTGTCACCTTAGAGGGGAAAAAAAACTACATATAATCAGCTTTTATTTCAGAAAAAAATGGGGTTTAAAATCAGTCCTGAAACCTAGATTTTAAAGCCACAAATTTCCTGTATTAATCATATTCCCATCACTGGGATAAAACACTCAAAACTTACAACTTAAAGGACAGGAGGTTTCAGAGGATTCAATACACGGCTGGCTGGCTCCAAAGCCCATGGCAGCCAGAAAACATTAAAGAAAGGAGCAGCCAGAACAAGGACATACACTTTCAGGGCATGCCCCCAGCGACCCACATCCTCCAACCATGCCACTAACAACACACTCAGTCATGAACTCATCAATGGATTAATACACTGATAAATAAGCCCTCCACGATGCAATCACCTTCAAAAACCTCAACTCTGAACATATAACACTTCTGGGGGACATTTTAGATCCAAACCATAATGCTACCTAAATTTATTTTTACACTAAAATGAATAGAAATCACCTTGAAGGAAAAGCTAACACCAGAGATGCGACAGGTAAAGCACATGAACCTGAATATCTTGTTTTGTCAAAACAAAACCAAAACCCACACACAAGAACCAGCTCAATGAAGCTCCCACCAACCAAGCCTCACATAATTTGAGACTCAAAATAATGACAGCGTTGAATTTAACATTAAACAAATAAATATGGAGAAGACAGAAAAGACTGCTTATCAACAGAGTCAACTTCTAATAACTACAGAAAGAATAAAGTTAAACATCAATGGATGCTAAAACTCGGGGATGAAATTTTGATCAGACTATGACAACATCCTGTTATTCAAGGTACACTTCTGTAAGCTGCATATTAATTACAAAACAGTAAATAACTTTCAGGGAGAAATACACCTTAATTTTCAAAGCTGACATCATTGGGACAAACAAAATCATGAGCCTCTAGATATGATGTACTAAGAAAAGAATATGTCTTCAAGTAGGATTCCTGCCAAGTGTGTAGTCAACCTAATCATGAGAAAATAAATTCAAATTGAGGGACAGCCTACAAAATAATTGTTATGTACTTTCAAAAATAAAAGTCGGTGGGGGATTTAGCTCAGTGGTGCCACCATCTGCCTCACAAGCAGCACAAGGTCAGGAATTCCATCCCCAGTACAAAAAAAAAAAGGTCAAAGTCAAGAAATAGGCTAACAAAGTATTCCTGATTAAAAAAAAACCAAAAACAAAAACACTAAAGATGACCAAATGCAGTGCATAATCCTAGAGCGGTTCATGAACTAGGGGGTAGAGTGAGAGGATTTTGGAGGAAATGAGCAGAAAAAATTTGAATATGGATTATAAATTAGATTATGTCAATGCTAAATCTGCTAGTTTTAATTTCCTACACTGGTTAGATACAACACTGTCCTTATTTTTAGGAAATACACATTGAAAAAGATAAGAATAAAGGGGTCTGATGACCTCAAATTATTAAGTTGTTCAGAAATATGTGGATGGATATAGGGCAAGAACGATAAAAGTACATATGACAAAATATAAAACAATGTGGGTTATGATGAATGTGGATAAGGGAATACTGAAAGTCCTACTAGTTTTCAATTTTTGTAAGATAAAAATTATATCAAAATAAAATTTTCTTTAAATATTGGCCTATCAAATTAACTTTTTTAAAAAATTGGCTTATCTGTCCTAATAGGCCATAGAAGGCCAGATGTTTTAAAATACACTAATATTTTTCTTTTACTCTAGACCATATTTTTATGGTTCATCAGAAACTATATTTTATTTTCCATAAGATCCAGGACTGTATATATTACTACTCAATATCAATTTTGAGAACTAGGACATCATTTACTATCCAATAAATTGTAAAATGAGCACAATCAAAATTATAGCATAGTTCAGGGTTACAGAAGCAACATAAAATTATAAAAAAACACTACATTATACATGGAACTACAAAACTGGAAAAAAGCTTGCAGGTCAACTCTCCAATTTAAAAAACCAAGAATAAGAACAGTAGTAAAAAAATCTAAGGCAATGCGGTAAGTTCTACAATTTTGAGGAAGGTAAACATCTTTTGTATATAGAATCATTTCACTTTCTCAACTAAGTACAGTATAAGCAGTCACTGATAACTAAAACAACATTCTTCCCTACTGCATTGGAGTATAAGTGCTAAAAAATGAATCCGATTAAACACTTAAGCTGAGAACTGAGATTCAAAATTTCACTAGGGTTTCAGTATTAATTTGCTGTACAATCCTGAGATGCTACCTACAATTTCCGTATCTCACTTAAAACTAAGACTTTCAGGTCATTTTCTTCCAGAAAGGCAAAAAGGGTGTTATTTTGTAAAAATGATTCCATGCAGTAAGAACACTGAATTCAATACAGAAATATACCCACAAACATATGCAGTCACACATATACAGATATAAAAAGGGAAATGAAAAGAACATGGCTATTTTGTAAATATGTTTACAAAGTATGAATGTAAGCATTAATAGTAAAGGTGACTTAAAAAAAAACACAACTAGAAAATGTGTATTAAAAGGGTTTTATTATGACATGGATCTTAGTAGGTCTCCTGACTGGGGCTTTGAGAAAAAAATCTGAAATATAGCTAAGACCCAGGGAAAATTTATTTTCATATACAGTACAATATAATTATGTATTTTATTAAAGTGCAACAGATTTCATATTAGACATACAGCATAAACTTAACTTTCAGTATCTTCCGATACTACTTGAATATCTTTGTAGACGACAAAAAGATAATCTAGTTCCTTTCTTCTATCAAATCCAATTACTTTTGTTTCATCTAATTAAAAATTTTTCAAGTATTAATATTTTTGTTATACAAAGTTGTACTTAATATGTCTAAGCAAGACAAGAAAAAATTCTAAACCTAAACTTGACCAGGCATCCTTAAATTACTGAGTATCTTGGCAAAACTTAACACAGTAACATCATGAGCCAGTATCATACTGCTGTCATCTACCTAATTTCATGTGAATGAACACAACAATTTCTAAACAGGTTTTACAGAAGAGATCTTTACCTAAGAAATTACAAAAATGGATCCATACTGTATTCAAGAAGCAGAAATACAAAACTCTTGGTAAAAATACAGTGAGGCTTTTAAAAAACACTATGAACTAAAGCCATTTACTAATACTTAACCAACACGATTCCCCATAACTTTTCCTTAGATGAGGCCAAAATACATTTTCTAGAGGTAAAACATCACTTAAATGCCCCTAACCGAAGCAATCTTCGTTCTTGTATGTTTTTTCTCTGTTCATCTTAATTAGAATTGAAGTTGTTACTGGTTTAATCTACCAGGATCTCCTAGTCACTAGTGAAAACAAGATCTTCAGGCGCTAACCAAACAAAACTGAGAGGGGTAGGGCAGGGGGAAGGGGCGCGAGGTGGCGCCAAGAACAGAAGAAAACAAGATAAAGACAGTTGTTTCCTTAAGGCTCTAAGGTTACTTCCCAACTCCAAATGCCAAGATTCACTCGCCAGCAGAGAAAGCTGATGCCACCGTCCACTCTTTACACAATCTTCCTTTCCACCTCTTCCCAAAAACCACCACCCACAACCGCCTTCCAAAACAAACACGCAAAGACGCCCAGTCCGTGCCCCGCTGGGCCCACTAACCAACCTGCTGGATAAGAGATCCAGGCAGACTTCTCACCCGGATAAAAAGAGAGAACGAGCGAGAGAGACGGCCGTAAGGCGGGGAGTCCCACCATCTCCCGCCACCCAAACAACCCAGTCTGAGCCCCAAATCCAGAAGTTTGAAGCAAAACGAGTCAGTCCCCACCAAAAAGGAAGACGGAACTGCAACTGAACGCGGAGGAGAGGTGAGAAGGGCGAAGAGTGTCTGTGTGCAGGGAAGAGTCCATCACATGACAGTGAAAGAGGACCAGAGTCGTCGGGGCGTCCGCGAGAAGTGGAAGGGAGGGTGCCGTTGCCTCGGCAACACCCCCTATCCGTCCAGACTTCCAAAGAGGGAGGAAGAACTTCAAATCCCAACCGTCAGCGCTCGAGCGGCTCCTTCTTAAAGGGGTACACACTGCGCCGCCGCCGCTGCCGCCGAGCGCGAGA